CTGCGCCAGTTTGCTTAGAAACCAAAAGTTCTTTCCTCCCCCCAATAAAATATAAAATGTTCGTAGGCAAAAAAAAAAAAAAAAAAATCACCACAAGAAGTATAGCAAATTTTTTTTTTTCCTTATTCCTGCAGTAAATTAGTTGTTGCGGTGCTTGGCGGCTCAACTCCAGCTGACTTCTACAACGATTCAAATTATTTTCTGTCGTTACGCTCATGGGCGCGCCTTGGCAGAGACGGTGGTAGCGCGCGGTCAGCATCGCGCCTTGCTCGCCTTGCCGCTGGTACGTCAGGATCCCGGGGAGCGCTGTGTCGTCAGCATGGCGGGCACGGAGAGGGAGCCTTGTCAGCCGGCTTTGAACCATCTCTTCTCAGGTGGGGAAGAAGAGAGGACGCCATCTTCACTTGTTTGTTCTCTGAAATTCCTGGTCCGTCTCGGTCACGTGTGTGGCGTGACCTTGGTATCTCAACATCCTCATGTTACCGATGCTAAGTTGATTTAAATTGCTAAAATGTTCTTTTAACAATTCTAGCGAAAATTAGGGAGGGTTTTGATTGTTTGTTTTTACTATTTTTCTTTTTTCCTCCCTTCTCTGAAGCTGGGAATTAAAATGAAAGGGAAACTTCAAAAGCAGATCTGTCAGGTCGTTCTGGATCATTTTGAGAAGCAGTACACAACGGAACTGGGAGATACATGGACTCGTGTCAGGTGTGTTGTGGGGAGGGAGAGGACAGGTTCCGTTATTTTTTAAATAAAATGATTCATAAAATGATTTTGAAAAGAGTCGTGGACTGTAACAACTGCTGCAGTTTATTTTCAGTTTAGAACTAATGTAAAAGTGTGAAATGACAGAAGACTAAGAGTTTTTAAGTTTTTTCTTCGACATGATTCTTTCGGCATGATAAAGTTTCTGTTCTCCTGTATGCATGTGCGCTGCAAGGAGACTGCCATCTTACATGTTTGTTGACTGTTCTGTAAAAACGTAGTCCAAAAAGCACCCCCTTATACTTAACAGCTGCTGTTGGGGGGGGGTGTGGTTCTGTAGCTTTGTGGTATCTTGAGAGACTGGGACAAAGATATTAGGAAAGAAATACATCCCCTGATTTCTTTCATTAGAAGAAATTTAATATTAATGACGTGTTAAAGGAGATCATTTAATTTGGGCCTTGATCACACAGCTGCTAAAGAACTGGTTGTGGTATTGAGAGAAGACATCTTCCCTTTCCTGCTCGCTGATGGTTGTCGCTCATAGGAGAGCCAGCAGAAGAGCCCTTCTGGAGAAGTTCACTGCTTAGCTTACACACTTTTCAACTGAAATTTGAACAAAAGCACTTGACTTTGACCTGAGGTGCATGAGGAGTATTCCCATGATCAGTGCCATGTTTCTTTGAAGGGAAAGGTATCTTACGTGATCAGAGTCTTAGAAATCATGTGATTCCTCTGAGTGCCCTCTTTCGTTTAACCTGTTTGGATTTAAAAGTAGTTTAAAAAAAATGTCTCCATTGTTTAGAAAAAAATAAAAGCATAGATATGATGCATTAGTTTAAGTGACTGAAAAACTCTTTTAGGTTGGATCAATGCATATTTCTCTTTTAGGCAGTGAATATTCCTGAGGAGTATTTTTTGAGGCTAAATGAAAAAATACTGAAAGAAATTCAAATAGAAAATGGGTGAAATCCACGTAAAAAAGATCTGAAAAAGTGAACTGAAATACGAACAAGCATGTTACTACCATATGAGCACCGCTTTTTGGCTGTCTTCCAGGAGTATCTGTTGGTTTAAGTTTTTCTGGCCTAATATTTGCAGAACATAATAGGAAATTTAGAAAAGAACACTTGTAAAAACTCATTTTATGGTCTTGGCTGGAACAACCATTGCAAAGCCATTGTGATTCTTTTTGCTGGGATATTTGCAACTAATATTACAGTTGTTCTTTGTCTCTAGGGAAGTACTTTATAGTCGGAAAGAGCATTACGTGTCGTAATTTGTAACTTCTACAGTCATTTGTTAAAGAATTAGGAAGAACAGAGGACATCTTGTTTCAGAAGAAGTTAGTGTTTTCAATGTAATAACTGGAGAAAATGGTGGCTTGACTTCTAATTAAAATAATTTTCCTGCATACTTTTCTTAATCATATCTAATCAAAATGTTTCCTGTTCGATTGTACCAGAATTATCCAATGGTGAGATTGTTACTCTCATGTAAGAAAAGGCTTCCTACTCTATGGAAACCTAATTTTGTTTGCCAAGTTATTAAATAGCATTTCTTTTTTTCAATCTAGAGATGTACTCACATACCCGTTGTGCTGGCAGTACGCTGTCCTGCTTAACAAGTTCAGCCAGTCCGCTGAACTGGAGAACACCTTGCGTGTGAAGGGATATCATCCTGCCTTTCGAGGACCTTTGCCCTATCTTCCTGCATCGTTGAAGTGCTACATCAGGAGAACTCCTGGGAGATTCCCTGCACAAAAACACCAGGCTGGTAGACTGAAAGAGTATTTTCTGCTGAATGCTGCTTCGCTGTTGCCAGTGCTGGCATTGGAAGTGAGAGATGGGGAAGACGTTTTGGATCTCTGTGCTGCACCAGGGGGTAAATCAGTAGCTACACTGCAGTGTGCCTATCCAGGTAATGTACCGAGGTGCTGCTGGAAGCTGATCCCTGACTCTGTGCCTGGGCTATTTCAGTTGTGCCTGTTTTCTGTACAAGATTTGGGATGGGGGCAAAAAAAACAAACAACAGTTTATGTTCCAAGTTGTTCCATGCTGTTTAATAAAATTTTCATGAAGTCGTTTACTTAAAAGAGGATGAAAAATGCAGTAGTTATTTAAGTATAGGTTACTGCAGACTGACAGACAAAAGTGGAGTAGATATATGTTTTTCTTCCTCTACTGGTTCCCTTATTGTTACTTCTCAGCGAGTTAAAGTGATGTAGCCTTGTTGGCACAGGGAGGTAAGTAATCCGCGATCTTAGAATACTTGTACTTTTTTTCTTTTTTTTTTTTTTTTCTTTTCCTCTGCTACCTCTCTGGCCAGTGCTATGCAAATAGTGTAAGTAAATTTAAGTGTACTGATGTAAAGCGAAGCGTAACAAATTAAATGTGCAAGATCTAAGCAGAGGGAGAAAGCTTATGATGAAGAATTGGTCTGCATCAGTATTTAACAAGCTCTGTGTCTCAGTCCACCTAGATGTTGCAGAAGGGCACCAAGATAATCACAGTATTTAGAAGGCAACAGCAAGCAGCAGCTCAGCTCTTCCAGGCCAGGGAGTTAAAGCAAGCTGTGATTGCTGTTTCTGAGTGTGTGTGTTAGCTTGGGTAGTAATTGTCTCAAAATGTTCACAGCACCTTATGTTCTTACTGATGAGACCATTACTATAACCGCCTGTACCTGTTGATTACAGCTGGTTCTCCTTCCCTCTTCTAGAGGAAGGAGGTGATGCCAATGATGTAAACTAAATGTGGATTGCCTTTTCAAAAGGTTTGAAAAAAAACCAACACTTTTATCTCATGGCTGCTTCTGAAGATACAGAATTGTTGCTGAGAATGTAAGAATTTAATTCTTAATATACCTCAGTGAATGCTAAGATGTACCGTACTGTGTGTGGCAAACGTGGAGTCTGGCAACCTGTGGAGACATGAGAAATTTTGTTAAATTAGAAAACAGGACTAAAAGGAAAAAATACCATGCTGCATTTGTGGTCTGGTACAAGCAACAGCAGTGTTTCTGCTGAAGGGGTAACCACTCTGGCTGCATTGTTAAAAGTAAATGCAAGGAAAAGGCTTGTTTTAAAACACTTGTAGCTTAAATTTCAAGTAAATAAGGGGTTGGACTGCTCAGCCTACGGCACACAAAGCTGATTTTTAAATTTTTTTTTAAGGTAATTAATTAACAAAGGGCAGGTGCTTCATTTACACAATGGCTCAAGGAGCCCAGAAAGGCACGCACCTAACACTTGTATTTGGATATGGATCATGTTTAGAGTTTGTTTTACCGTGGAAGTCTATTGCTACAGTAAGTATTGGCTAGTGCATGTTTATGGATTGCTCTGTAGGTGCATGTTGAAATTTACTCAGGTTTATAAAAATTCAGCAATGTTATAAAATGTGCAATAACATAAACACATAAGGCGTAAACTCTATGGCAGTCATAGCAGAACTTCTGAAACCAGCGTAACTCCTTACATTTGTAAAAAAAACAAACATAAAAAACATAAAAGACTTATTTCAGGGTCTTTTTTTTTTATTTTCTAAGGTCGGTTTCACTGTAATGAATATGATGATTTGAGGTCAAGATGGCTGAAACAGACAATAGAATCCTTCATCCCGGATCCTATGATTAACTTAATAACAGTCTCTAAACTGGATGGTAGAGAGATTGGAGATATTAAACCTGAATTGTACGACAAGGTAACTTTACTACTTATTAGCAAATGATATTTCTGGATTGCGCTTCTTTTTCTTCCTATGCTGCTCTTTTTTTAATTTTCCTTCTTTTCTGTCCCCTGCAAAAATATCTGACTGATCAAGGGGAACCAAGGTCATGTACAGGGTTTGCAGAGCCTCGGGAATCCCTTAATGAAGCCTATTGTGCATTGTTCATGTGTTAGGTGATGTCATCCATTTAGCCTCAGTATTGAATTCTGAAGACCTTATAGCTGCGTTCTTTACATGATGTGTGATTAGGAAGGGGGGAACAAATCAAAGCTATTCGGGTAGAGGGTACGTTTGGAGCAATAATTTCTTATCTTCCACCCCAATCCCTCCATAAATCCATCTCACAATAGTAGTTAGATTATTTCTGCCCCTAAAAGGGAAAATAAAAAGGGTTTTCTAAGTGTTTGCAAAAGTAAGTTGAGTAGATTTTTGGCATACAGTGTTCAGAAAGTAAATATCTTTGTTATGAATTGTCTTATTTGCTTTTATGTGTTGTATAGGTACTAGTTGATGCTCCTTGTTCAAATGACAGAAGTTGGCTATTCTCTTCTGATATTCAGCAAGCTACACTTAGGCTAATACAAAGGAAAGGGTTATCTTCTCTGCAATTCCAGCTGCTAAGGTGAGAAGTGCAAAGGAAAGCTGTTGAAGGAGCTTTTCGTAATTGATAAAAATGACGCGGGGGCAAGATTTTCCATGTTTAATAACAAAAATCAGGTTTCACCATGTGAAAAGTGTGAAGAACATGTTGTTGCGATTGCTGTTTAGAATGAAGAGTTATTCTAGGTTAATGTGAACATGGAAATTTGTATGGGGTAATATAAGCAGTGATGCCTAGGTCTTCTACTACCATGCTGCTGTACAGTCCTGTTAACTTACTCATTCACATATGTGTCCCTTTTCAGATGAGTCGGAACAGTCTGGTACCATGTCAAAATATTTTCAGTGGACACAGCTGAAGTGGTTTTAGGTATATTCCTCAGCTGAGGCGAAACCACACATATATTTTTTAATAGTTGTTTTTTAACTATTTGTGAAAATAGTCTATAAACCTGCCAAGCTGGTCATTCTCTCCCAAACTCCTTTTGCTGCTGCCGCAGTTGTTCTTTCACAGAATTATGCCTTACGGTTCTTTATTGCAGTTTTTTTGCTAACTGAGCTGGAAGTCCGGACTGGTTACCAGCCATCACGTAGGGCATTACTTAATGCTGCTTCGGAATTTTCTTTCTGGGCTGTTTATATGAAGAGATTGAGTCTACTGTTACAGATTCTTACATGCTGCTTGAATTTAATACCCATTTGACTATTTGTAGCACAGAAAGACTACTAGGGGTAATCCACTGCCCAGGGATAGGGTAAAAAGTAAAAGAATGTGGGGTTTGGTGGGGGAGCGAGCATTGTTTCTTTATTTTTCAAGAACATCCACCAAATAATCCAAATCGAGGTTGTCATGTATTACACTGTTTAATGATGCTGGCATTTGTGAAGCGTTTCAAGCTCTATCCCAACAATACCTTCTAGACTTGAGTGTTTTTTGCGAAGTAGCAATCACGCCTGAAGTCCATCTGTCAAAGCAAATTGAGGGAAAAATAGCACTTTAGAAAAAAGAAAAATAAAGTTTTTATGGAAAGTTCCCATTGCAGCAGTTCAAGATAGTTTTGCATGACTTCCAGTTGAAAAAGGCCCAACAGAAGCCTATGATTTATAACAGAAATATGAGTGTCTTATTGCAGTAATGCATCATGTCACCCATTTCCTTTGAAGAAATCAATCACATTTAGAACACTGACCTGTTTCAGTTTTCCCTTTTCAATATTTGACATATAAAATCCAATTTGTGAACCCCTACCAAAAGAAAGCATATATCATGCAGAGAAATTTTGAGAATTTGCATAAATCACTCCAGATTGTAATCCTGAAGTGGAGAACTCATGACAGCAGGAACCTTGTTTTAAAAAAAACGAGACGTTCCTGTCAGCCCAAATCAGATTTAATTGAATTATTCCTAAAGCAAGAAGAGAACTTTGCTTCTATTGAAAATATGCTTTACTATAGCAACAGCAATAAAAATTAGATTTGTAGGGACAAAATGCTTCTGATACGTAGGTTGTAATAACAGGATGGTAATTTCAATTTCATTGCTCAACGTAGGTCTGAGTAGTTCTGTAGATAGACCAATCTACTGTTATGTGCCCTGGACTGTTTTTTTTGGGTTTTTTTTTGCCTTTTAGAAGATTTTGGAGCATATGAAATAAACAGTTAGGTTGCAGATTTAGAAATTACAACCTTTATCGGGTAAAATATTTGACATATACGTAGTAAATGATATAGCTGTCCACTGTATTTTTATTGTTCCTTTTGTCTGATGGCTTTAGAATGAATTTCCGATACTAATGACGTCTCAGATCATGTGTGAAAGGGAAAAAGGAAATGATAAAATGAGATCAGGAAAGGCTAAATAACTCATGCAAGTCTATTAGAAGTTTGGCGGAACTAAAATTCTGGAATGCTACCCTATTCAAGCCTTTATTTTATGGGTAGGGTGCATAACTATAAATAAAAGACTGAGTTGGTATCCTGCCTCTGATACTTCCAGTAGTATTCAGGAAGGCTGAACCTACATTCATCTAGCTGAAACTGCATGTTATGCGAGTCATCTCATGCAAAGCTACGCCTGACCAAGCATTGTTTCAGTTTAGCGGTAGTGTTGAGTAGAAGGATAACACACAAATGAGAAGAAGGAAATGCAAGGGGGAGTTCTGTTTTCATTTCTATCAAGTGACACTCAGCCCAAAATTTGCGATTCCCTCTTTCTTAGTTAAGGAAATGAAGGAAATACTTCACTTGTTACCTGTTTTTCTGGGTTTGGTCATCTTGTGCTCTTTTTTTTGTTTGGGGTTTTTTAGTAGATCAACTTGTGTGGGGAGCTGGGAATATCAGAGAGAAAGCAAAGGAAGGAAAATTGTTTATGAAGTACATAGAGACTTCAGAGAATGAAGATCTGAAAGAAGCGTTGAAACTGATGCAAGGATCTTTCTACTCCAGTCTGAATAAAATCTGAAATGTAAAATAAGAAGGATAAATGCTGAACCACAATTATAGAAGCAATGAGGATACCACTGATTTGAAGGAAATTGAGATTGTAATGATTGTTAATACCAAAACCAAAGCATCTCTACTGAGTGCTATAATCCAAGAACACACTGCAAATCTTGTTATTATTTGCAGTGTTCATGCAGAAAACAAACTGTGAAGCAAGGAAGGAATGTTTATTTCCTGATACTGAATGCTAGCACAAAATGCAGCGGTTCCCATAAGTAAATTTACCAATGTTATCAGTTCTCAGATAGCAATTAAATTTTGGGTTAAGCTCGAGTATGTAATAACTTAGTGGTGAAACTGTTACGGATGTTGTAATTATTCCTAGACCAGTTACTGCAGCTGAAGGAAACTGTGTTAGTCTTAAGCTGAAAATAAATCCAACAGGATACAATTTAGAAAATGCAGCAAAGACATTCAGAGTACTGTAAATGTTCTACACACAACATCTCTCAGTAATTAAACAGCTCTAATTGGTGTTTAATAGAGTTCTGGTCCACAGGAGCTCAGACTAACTTTAAAAGATACATATTGGCTGACTTTCCTTTTTTACCTCTTTTTCATCCTAGTAGTTAGCTACAAGGGAGGTTGTCTTGAATACCTAAGACACGCGCTAACAGAGTTAAGAGGTTTGGGGGAATTCGGGCTGCATGAGGAGTTTGAGGTGTGCTTTGGGTTACTGGTAGCAAAGTAAGCCATATGAAATGGTCGTTTTCCAGGCTGATCTCACTTGAGTTGTATGTATTCTCATTTTTCAAAACTCTGAATGAAGAATTAAACTTGGATAGAGAAATACAGAAAAGTCTTTATTCTTCCTGTTAATTAAATGTTTCAGTTCCTGCTTAGCTTATAAATGTAAGGACTTTTAAGGAATTATGGCTGGTTCTGTATAACGTATGTATCTTCTCTTACAAACCCCTTGCAAGTGGAGTGCAATACTGAGATAAAATGAATGTTTCCCTCTGTAGAAAGATTTTTTTCCTTTGAATATCAATCATAACATAGTATTTGAAATTGCTGATCTTTTTCAAGAAAAGGTTACCAGAAGTTTGGGGTTTTTTTTTTCTTATTGAATAGTTTGGGAGGTAGAAGGGTTATGCACATGCTTGTACTTGAAAGCAGAAATAAAAAAAAACTCAACCCAAATATTCTGAACCTATTTTTCTGATATAAAGGGTACTTAAACCGTTAGATAATGTTATATGTAAGTGACGACGTGTTGTGCAAGTGGCTTCATGAAGATTTTGATCTGTGTTTGTCTTGCTGCTTTGGTTCTGAGCTTCACCGGAGCAGAGGCTGCTGATCGTGCAACGAGTTTGCGTGCTGGTTTACCAATCTGCACACATGCGAAGTAAAATGAGATTGACATTTTCCCTTAACTCATCAGGTAGAACTGACAACCAAAACCTATAAAGGCTAATCTACATGCCAAGGACCAGCTTTATTTTCTCTAGTCCAGACCTTTGAAAATATATCTGACCTAGAATGAATGTTAAAACTTCTGGTGAAAACGTGGGACACAAACGTAACAAACATGAAATTACAAGCTACTCTGTTTTCTGTGATGTATGAAAATTAGTGGCATGGTTTCGCAGAATACATATAGTCATAGATTTTATTTGTTGAAAAAGTCTTTTTCACATAGTATGTGGTAGATACTGTGATTTACTGGAAAAATCCTGATACTTCTCCTTCTGCATTCAGTGTCACCTCTGTTTTCACTGACACGTGGAGTTTTGCACACATACCTAGAAGAGGAATTATGTGCTCTAAATTGTGGGTGCTTTTTGTTATTGTGAAGGCAAAAATTGTTTTTTTTATAAATGTACCCTCATATATTTAGCATGTGGTACCACTGTACCATTTCTGCTTTGATTAAGACAAAAGCCTTTGTAGCACATGGGCATGTAACAATGAAGTAAAGGGGAAGATACTCACAATTAGCTAGCTGTCCTGTCCAGGCAAAGTGATTCAGTTTTGTTTGTGATTTGCTACTCATGAAAAAAATCTCAACCTTTAATGTGCATTGCAAAGGCAAGGAGAGCCAGTGTCTTGAACCTTGAAAAAAATTTACCGTTGTAGAAGTTGCTTTAGTGTCAGGCATTAAAAGGAGGGCAAGGCTGAATGTTACAAGGGCAGGAGAAGCACAAGGGAGTCCCTCCAGAAATACGGCAGCCATCTTCTGCCATAAATTTTTGTTTCAGTGTGTGCTGGACTCCTGTGCAGGAGCTCGCTGGGTGAAGTTCAGGGGCATTCTGGAGTGACCTGGAGGAATTCTGAACCACGGCATCGGAGGGCGAGAGGTGAGCTGAGGAGGTGAAGTGAATGCCATTTTCTGTGGAGAAGGGAAAAAGGGCATACAGGAAAGTGGAGAAAATCGCATTGAGGATTACTTCATCACACCATTCTTCAGCTCTTTGCCTGGAATTTTTCCCTTTGCTCCTCTGTGGCAGACCATTTAACCCACTCATTATACAAAACTGTCTAGTCAAGTAGCTCCACTGGGATTTTTTTTAGAATTGC